CCCCAAAACCCCAAAACCCCAAAACCCCAAAACCCCAATTTTAAACTCAGAATTGATAATTTTTCAATATGTCTGACGCAGAGAGCTCCAATACACCAGAAGATACCAACTCAAACGAGGAGGATAAGATCGGTGACGACACAAGTCCCATATCTAGCGCAATCGCTACAGTCGATTCTAAAAAGGTAACTTAACCATCTAATTCAATCCTCTCTTATCATCACAAAATATTCAAATTATCCTGATTCAATATCTTTAGACTACAAAGAAGAAGAAAAAGGGGAAGAAGAAGCTTGGCCTTCCCACTGAGAAAAGCTCTAAACCTGAAAGCGTAGTCGTCCACGTCCGTTTGAGGCCATTCAACTCTGAAGAGAGCAAATAAGAGGCATAAATCAGCTATTCAGGTCTTTGATGCAGAGAATAAATCTATCGTGGTCAAGAAAGACGGGGATAAGAAGAGATTCAATTTTAATAACCTTCTAAACCAAGATGTAACTCAAGAGGAGGTCTTTAACACTGTAGGCCAACGGGTCATCGATGGTGTGCTCAATGGCTACAATGGGACGATTTTTGCATACGGGATGACAGGAACTGGCAAAACTTTCTCAATGCTTGGGAAATATAATTTCGGTAAAGAACTTGACTCTAATGAGGACAGAGGTATTATACCCAGATCTATTGAGAAAATATTTGATCACTCCACTGAGGATGAGAGTCATGATTATTCCATTTCTGTCGGATTTATCCAAATTTATATGGAAATGATCCAGGATTTGCTCGAGCCGAATAATAAGCTAATCAAGATCAGAGAAATTCCTGGGAAAGGTGTTTATATAGACAATACCACCTGGATTCCTGTTAAAAATGTCCAGCAAGCAATGAAAACTTTTAAATACGGAGAGCAGAATAGAGCCACTGCGTTTACAAACCTCAACGCCCATTCAAGTAGAAGTCATGCTGTCTTATTGGTAAAAATTGAGAAGAGGAAGGCAAGTATAAAGAGTAATGACAGAAATATGACATTTTCAACCTTGTATCTGGTTGATTTAGCTGGAAGCGAAAGAGTTAAGAAATCAAAAGCTACTGCAGGAAGACTAGACGAAGCGAAGAAAATCAACTACTCTTTATCATGTCTTGGAAAATGTATAGAAGCTCTCAGTGAGCAAAAGAGAAAGATGGGTCATATCCCATTCAGAGATTCTAAGCTGACTCGGCTATTGCAAGACTCATTGGGAGGAAATTCAAAAACTTCAATGATTGTCAATATTGGGCCATCGAACCACCATGCTGACGAAACAGTAATGTCCTTAAACTTTGGATTCAGGGCCATGAAGATTGAAAATAAGCCCTCGGTAAATAAGAAAGTTGACCACCAAGCTCTATGTGGCCAGTTACAAGCTGAGCTCGATAGCAAGAATGATATCATCACTGAACTTGAAATCCAAGTGAATACTCTTGAAGAGCAGGTGAAGTCTCTTCAAGCTGAAAATGATGAACTCAAGATGTACAAAGAGGCTGATGATACCACCACCAGTAATACTCAAGAAGAAGTCAAGGATGAGAAGCCCAAGATTGATCTTTCTGAAGTAGAAGCAATGAACCAGGACTTGCTTAAGAAGAAAGAGCAGGAATTCCAGAAGAAATTCAAAGAATACAAAGCAAAATTCAAGAAAATGCATGCTGAAATTATGGTGAAAAAGGAAAAAGAGTATAAAGCTATCCTTGAAGATGCAGACAAGCTTATCTTTGAACAAGAGAAAGAGATCGAATCTCTCCAGACCAAGATTAAAGACTCAGAAGCAGAGGTCACTGACCTTGAAGAGACCAAGCAGGAGTTAGAGAAAGAGAAGGAAGATCTTAATACCAGAATTATCGAAGTCTCCCAAGAAAATGATGAGCTTAAGTCTTCATTAGAGTCCCAAACCACCTCTTTTGAATCATACAAACAGAAAATAGCTGAAGAAGTGGACCTTGCTCATAAAGAACATGAAAATAAGCTAAAGAAGTTAAAGAAAAAGTACATTCTGGATAAAAGCAATAAAATCAAAGAAATTGATCGAGAATGGACAATTAAGTGGGAAAAGAAGAAAAATGAACTTGAATTGCTCAGTATTAAGAAGGAAATAGAAGACTTCTTCATTGGCTTTGAGAAAGACCAGGATGGGTTCAAACCTGAGATTAGGAATTCCTGCCTCAGACTGGTGAATCAGTTCTACAACCAGGTAATCTTTGTTATTGGTGGTCTTAGAGTTCACCTGTTTCTATAGCAAGACCAACAGAATACGGTTATTAATTTGAAATCACAATTAAAGCAGATTGAGAGAGAAAACACCAAGTTGAAAAATACGATAGAGGATTTAACAGATGAAAATGATAATTTGGTGAAAAGAATAGAACAAATAGAAGCTCAACTTGAAGACAAAAGAAATGAAAACGACCAAGAAGCCAAAGAGATTGAATACGATAATGAGCAGAGGAAAATTATGGACTCTTATGAAAACCTCCTCAAATCCAAAGATATCACCATAAAATCTCTTGAACAGAAGTTGACTAAAGTTGAGGATAGAATCAAACTCAGGATGAGTTTGAAACAATCCAGTCAAGATGAGGGTATTGTTATGCTGAAAAACAAGCAAGCTTTGCTATCAAATGAGATTCTTAAAAACGTTCAGGATAGCTTGATAAAATGTACTTCAGACCCTCACGTTAACCTTCCTGTTGGGAAGATGAATATTACAAATATTTTGTACCACCTTAACCACGATTTATTTTCAAACTGATTTAAAGACCAAGAGATATCGTATAAGGAATTACACCCATTATCCAATGAGATCTTCTCATTCTTCATTGACAATAAATTTCCAAGTGCTTATATGGAGTACGACACTACCCCTGGAGGAGGCAGGAGGAAGAACTCTTCCTATGCTTCTGCCTTTGGGAAATTGGATATTGATGAATTGTCAATATCTAAGCAAGATGGAGAAGACCTGAAGCTGTCAACTGACGACCAGTCTAAAGTGTTGTCAATCTTATATGCAATCGTCTTCTCTCACTTTGTTGAGTCTCAGATGAAGCTACAATCATCTAAAGAAGCAATCCGGATTTTGGAGGACAAGGTACAGGAGTTGAAAGATAATTTCGAAATTGAATTAAGATCAAGAGCTTCTCTACAAGATGAACTGAGACAGACGCAGAAGGAGATGAAAACTTCAAAGAACCAAGCATTGTTACAAGCAACTAGGATTATACAGAAATACTGGCGGAGGTTTATAAATCAGAGGCGGAGTAAAATTTTGCTTCAAGAAAGAATCCAGAAATTAAAGGAGATTCAAGAAAATGAAAATCGGAGGAGAAGCTTACTAACTCCTCATAATAAAACTACTCCGCAAATTAATACTACTTCCCCTCAAATAGTTGAAACCTTTGAAACTGAGAATTCTAAAAAAGAGCAAGCATCTAACAACTATCAAGCAGCTGAGGAGCTCAAACTCCCCGAAAACCAGGATCAGCCTCACATAAACCCCAATCCCAAGCCCTCTCTCCAAAACTCCCCACAAAACTCTATCGACCAAGACGACTCCTGAAACTCCTCTCTTAGCCCAGACGAAGACTTCGGGACTCTCTCCCAACAATTCACCCTCCCAGCTGCTACAGAAGTAGACATCGTAAAAATCCATGAAGAAGAGCGTAAAGAATTCGCAGATGAGCTTAACGAGGAAGAACACGAGTACTTACAGAACACAGGTAAATTCTTCATCCTCGACTCAATGCGCCAGATGGATAATCTGTTCGTGGATTTATACCATGGCTTCGTTGAAAGTAAGATAAAGAAAGGCACAGGGAGTATTTTTAGCAGGAAAGATAGTGATGAATAGGATTTCAATATTATGTGGCTTGTTGGGGTTTTGGGGTTTTGGGGTTTTGGGGTTTTGGGG